CCGGAGTTGTTTTCACATTGATTTGGGAAATCCGTCACATGGGTCTTTTGATTTTGCCAATAAAATCGTACTCAGATAAAAAACACCACGCAACGAAGGTGCATTGGGAAAAATTGTTTCGAAATCGTGCGAGTATTCATTTCTCGATGTAATGAGCCTGCCGAACACGACCCTTTTCGCAAGTTTTCCACAAGCTGACGAGAAATGCTCAGGAATCTACACTATCCCTACGAATCAAGCTGCTTTGCGCTAAAATTGTGCAATGTGTACCGCCAACGTAATTCTTTGAGGACTTTCATCGAAAACAAATTCCTCTGTGGCGCCTACTTCTGAGCTAGGCAGTAGGACAGCGATGACTTATGCGGATACTGGTTCGGAGAACCGCACAACTAATTAAACGGAACAATATTCCGACTGCAAAATGGATGTTACAGTGATTGATTAGAAGTAACAAGCTATCAAATCGAAAAGAGTATGATCCATCATTTCTGAGCCGTTATGTCTTCGATACTCAGGAACAGGTTCTCCGTTTCCGACTGACTGTGTACAGGGGAACCGCAAATTCTAGTTGTGAATCCAGAAAATCTAAATAGTGGCCCAAACTGAATAGACGGATGAGATATGGAACCACGACTTCTGCATTTCGGGGGATCAGTGCTTTACCGAATGCGGTTCCGCGAATGCCTTCCATGTGCATTTGAGTTCGCATCGATTCGCCACCCGTCTGCCTAATAGATCAACCGTTGCTACAGTGCACTGACATCGCGCGAACCACAAAAGTCTACGGGTTTCCAGTCGATGAAGGGGGAAAATAGGAATTTGGAAATCTTGAGTATAGATACACGCAAACAGTAAACAAAAGAGCAGGCATCTTTTGACATAACTTTTGGGTTACCGAGCGAGTACTCTATCAACTGGGAAGGAGAGCTGCGATACAGCTCAAATGCAGATGAGTGACGGCGGTGTAAGAGACCGGCCGAGCGCTGCTTTCAGTTGGATGTACGAGTACGTATAAAACAATTATGACTCGCGCGTTCACATAACGGTCGTGGTTGACCGGGCTCTCATGCAGTAAATGGTGACAAGTTTACCTAGCAATTTCTTCGCAAGATACTACAACTTGAATGATCACGTTGCATCGCGAACTGTAGTTTTCATGTAAACTACAGTCAACGGAATCGAGTGGATCTTGATGGTGAGCAACTTAAAATGAACAGCCAATAATTGCGTCCTCAATTAGCTAAGTTACGATTGGTTGGAAATCGGAAACTTGATTTGGGGGTGGCCGAAACTCACCCACTCTGACACCCTTGAAGTGAGTTTGATTAACCGTGGTGTCGGTTTCGAGTTTTCGAAATATCTCGCTTTCTAAGTCAAAGTTGTCTGAAGAGTGTGAAGTACAGAGCACTTCAAATCTTGAACACATGTACATCATTCGAGACGGTGGTGCTGTCCTGAACACGTGCACAGATTCCTGAGTACGTACTTCTTTAGTACTTCTGGTGGTGACCAGTGTTACACAGGCTTAGGCTGCTGTTGGCTCCCAGTGGTCTTATTCGTGCTTGTCCACTTATCTTATTCCTTAGTTGGCTTCAGCGACTTGCACCTTACTCACCTCCCCGGAAACCACTTGTGGTTTATCTGTTATGTGCCGATGCCCGGAACCACTGCTGATTGGTCGATCAGTTTCAGATGCAAACCAATCGTACATCCGTTCCCAAATCTCCCACTACATGCTTGTATTTAGTGAACGTACCTTCAGTAAAAACCTCATGCTCTTCGAGTGATTTACTTCGGGGAGTAAGCATCTGCGCCGCTTACGGTTCTTCCTATTTCACAGAGAATCGAGTAATGCAGCCCTCGAGCCTGATATTAAAAATGGTTACATTTCAAATCACGGCTAAACCATTCGTTTTCTGGCTTCAGCATGACTGTAAATGGTGAAGTGAATTGGTAGTACTGCGGAATACCAAAAACCTTGGGTTGGTATGATTACGTGAGACGTATTTTGAGCATGCTTTACCATTCTTCAAGACCGAGTCACCAAGATCCATCAACAAATAGACAGAATGTTTAAATGTCATTTGCTTCCCATTCACACAACAACGTTGGATAGCTTATGTGAATTTCGTGGTTAGTGAATAAAGTGGATTAGTCTATAAGCAAACTCACCGTCGTTAAATAGGAATACCTGGAACTAGCATTTAGGGGTGTTTTATTAGTCGGTGACGGTTAATTTCTTCCGGGACAGGAAGCCATTTTACCTGATAAGAGCCCAAATATCTGCAAATACTTAATGATAGTGATGTCCGGTAATTAAAACTGTCCTAATCTGCTCCGAGAACTAAAACCTTGGTTTTAAAACACTGACTTCATAGTTGGTTGCGCGTTAAACTTTGTGCCCTTGGTTTACTTACTGATGATCCTTAATTGTTTGTAATTGTAGACTTGTGCCAACCTTCACGTTGGAGTATCAAGTCCGATTTCATCGTTTTCCAGTCCTTTAAACCAACGAGTATACGTTTTTCCAGTGTATGCGGTTAACAAACTTCTTACGTATGCATCTTTGGTCGATCAGATAGATCACACGGACCTGGACCTCAACACCCTGTGATGTTTCTAACACACACGCAAAAATCGATAAAAGAAAACACGAAAGGTATGGAATGGCTGACATCCTCACCACTGCTACCTTTGGCAGGTTCTCTTACACTGAGTTCGCTAGATGGTTAAGCCGTTTAGTTCATCGTGTAGAAATACCTTGGTCAAACATGCAACCTATGGTTGCCGTGTGACTCTAATCACCCGCCTACTGGCAAACAGCGCTCCAAAGGTCACACTCCAGAGTTGAATGCACCACACCCGTGCAAAATTACGAAGACTGTGTTAGTGAGCTCCATCGGTCATATCATTGGTAAAGTCCACCTCGGTGATAAAATAACTTCCTGGAATATCACAGCAGATGTCGACACACTTTAACTCCCACAACAGAAATATCCATTGCACACCACGTTGAAACATATTCCTGTCTGCGAGAAATGCGATCATTTGCAAATCACTTTGGTTTTCAAAAAAGATTCAACTGAATCTCTCATTTATGATGTTCTACAACTGAATATGCTGCCTCATGTTTCAGTGGGCACGATATTCGAGATAGCGCAGTGTACTTTTTCATGAAGGAAACTACTCACAAGGTTGCTGAAAACTCTTCGGCAGCCCACCCTTGCAAACTGGTGCCATTTTGGAATTGTTCGCTCAGTGGGTCAGATTGATATGATTCAGCTGCTACTGAGGGAAATGGTCTATAGTCGTTCATTTGTTCATTGAGTGGGGCGATTTGATTTCAAATGTTTTATCATCAGTGCGTTCACGGGAATCAAAGTGGAGCGTAACGATGCGTCAGACGAAACCATCGATGCACCTCTCCGCTCCGTAACGTTTGAAATCAAATTACTTAGCTCCGCGAGCGGTCCGACGACCTGGACTCGATTCCATAGTAGTCCAAAACCGGGCCTATTCACTTCCTGTTTGGACTCGTTCACGAGTGGTTCGTTGCGAAGATACAACCACAGTCATGAACGACAAGCTGCTTCAATTGGCGAAACACGTAAGGTCTCTGAGGCCACCACAAGTTCCGGACAGCAGCACACGACCCGCGGAGTGTGTGAAATTGTCCACTGTAGGAACGTTGCACTGGCTGGACAGAACAGACCAGCGAACAACCATAAGTAGCCGTTTAGTCCCCCCTACATGCTTACGCAGAAGCTGTGTATGTTTGACCTGACCTGGCCTGACAATACAGCCATGCCCCAGTTTCTTTGTTTTCTCCTTATCACTCAGTTTGGCAGCCTCAGTGCAGGCGTAATCAATTAGACGACCACCGACGTGACATGTTTAGAACTGAGAGTGCCTGTGCCAAAGGTTTTTCTCTTTTTGGGAAACGGACAATGTTATTATTTTCAAACAACCTGGTTATCCAAACTAAATTTGTCAAGAAAATAGAGCCATTGGTGCCATATTAGGTACCTGTATCCGACATGAGGCGAAATCTACGCAATACTTGGAACTTTAACCTATCACACGAGAATTTTTTTGAAAATATATTTGAGAACCTCAAGTAGACGGCTGCACCCGTAAAAGCTGTTTTAGCCCACCAGATCCTGGCACTGCAAGAATCCTCTGTGAGTCCATACGGGCCCTTTGAGATAGGTTAAGAGTTGTTCCCCGTTCTAGTTATAGCCCTTATTCCCGAACAGTAGGGATAGCCGGCTCGCTGTTGGTTTCAAGTAAAACCTAAGGTTGACGCTAACTCGGGGACAGCGCCTACCTGATGAGGCCCAATAAGGGCGAAACCGGAAGTGGTCCGTCGACGAATTTTCAGCACTCTTATGAGTGGTGCATCACGAATACTTGGTAGTTGCGGCACAGAATCTACACTGTTATCACTGCACCAACGCCCCGAGAAATTTACCGGAATGAATACTGCAAGGCTGAACGCCGCCGCCAGTAAGGTATGACTTGACTGTTTGCAAAATAAGTCACAAATGGAGGGTCATACCATGAGTCTCTACCTAGTTTCTGATTCCCTCAAATAACTTGCCTGCTTAAATGCGAACGGAATTGGTAGAACATTGTCTCCAGTGCCTAGTTATATCTCCCCAGTAACCCAATTTTCTGGTGAGCGGAATCGAAGAAGCCGGAACTAACGCACCCCTGGTAAACGGTTCGTAGCTGGTAAAGATACTGCAAGATAGAAATCGGGACTCTTATTCGTTTCGTTGGAGATAACTAATGAATCGAAGACTCACTTACTGAAGGTCAATCAGCACATATGTGACCCATCCCGTTCCTCTAAAGTAATCATTACTGTGTAATTAAAACCTCTGGTGTTCTAATTAATTTAGTCACCAACTTGGTTGGATCGAAGATGTTTGTTGAATTTCGTGAAATTCGATTTGAAGATGAGTCGCAACAAAAAGGTACAGTGTTTCTCGGCTTTTCAGCATAGGCTGACTTCACTGAGAGGAGGAAACCTTTATTGGAAATTATCAGACCTCCTCATCAGCATCAATCGATCTTGGATTGATGAGAAACTCTCAGATTTAATTGGAGCCGTGGGGTTAGGGATAACGATACATCCAACGGAAAACAGGTATAATAAGGGAAAAAAGGTTAATTGAGTTCTGTGTACGCGTTGCTTGAAAAACACACGGGACCCGTAGCACTGACAGAAGCCGGTGAACTTCAAGAAGAATAATTTTGGAAACGCAGACTACTGTAATCGGTGAAAGAGTACAAAGAGGAAAAATCGAAAGGAATTAAATACCGCGTACAGGTGAATAACAAATGCAAGTTATGACCAGAATACGAGGATAATTTAAACGACATCCACGTGAAAATGAAGAGATAAGATACTGTATGAGAATTTGTTGTTGATTACGTTTCGAGTGATTGAACTGGAAGCATTTGATAGTTAGCTTTTGAAGGGACAGGTGACTGGTCCAGTCGGACATTCGGCGGAGTCAACTGATTTCACTTCCATCGGCTTTTGTCGATATTCACCATCGATTTCATCTCTGAGTAACAGGGGCTCGAACACCACAATCTTGTGACAACTGCCATTTGCAAATCTCACCTAAAAACAAACATGTGAAGTCGAGGCTCAGGTAACTAAACCGAACCAACCAAAAGGCGATAATTCACTCCCGCTACGACTTGTTTCTCTAACCGCAGGATTTCTGGCTCCAAATTCATTGCCAACAAAGGTGCTAGAATCTCATGAGAGGATGCCATGATCTGAATCACAGATTACATTGTTTTGAAAACACGAACACTTACAGCTGCTATCAGTTCCGGAAGATTCTGTTCTCCAAGAGGACAAGCCTCTTGGTAACCACCAAGCAGGGGCGAGTTAGGACGGCTGAGTTGGCACATCATTACAGGACAACAGAGAAGTCCCAGGAATAAAATCCACATGGTTCGCTAAAAAGACAAATGGATAGTTTAATGGACAAACGAAGAGCTGCAGATTTTCATAAAGGAAACTACTCACAAGGTTGTTGAAAACTCTTCGAGTTAAAAAAAAGACCACCGTCCAGGAGTAACTGCGTCCGAAGCAAGATTACCAAAAGTGAACCGAGCCTCCGAAAGTCTCTCGGGGGGGGGGGGAAGCGTCTTAAAAAAAGTGCATCCCCCCCAGCTCCGGGTTACGATACAACCCGACGTAAACATCTCAAGGAGCAACCAGCTTGGCTTAGCCACTGATTTATTCCACTGCGGATAACATCTCCAAGGATGGACTGACGTAAAAGTTACTTCCCTGAACTTGGATGATCCTTTACGATTATCTTCTGTGTGCTGAAGATAATCAGAAAAAAGTGAATTCCAGAAAGGTCAAGAGAAACAATGCCGATGGTATAGAAAAATCAGTGTGTATTTCTGAACATGTCTCTGTACAAAACTAAACAGCATTTCTGGCGCCATGCGGTTTCCGTGAATTCGGTTTCTCAGCCTTCGTGTATTTCGTTCTCAAAGTTTCCTCGAAGCGCAGATGATCCTGTTCCTCCTGCTCCTCGTCGTTCGCCAAGTCGTCACCGGCGGCCAACCCCCAACCGACAGCCGATGCCTGACGTTTCTCCTCAGCGATGACACGGCGCTTCTTTTTGCGGAGTTTCTTCTCCTTGTGTAGTGATATCCAGGATGCGCGCGCCATGTGCACTCCGGCTTCGCCGGACACATTCAAAGCAACGGACTCGTGCACGGTTGGCTCCTCCGTCGGGACTGATACGATCAAGTTATCAAATTCCTCCTCTGAGGATTCACTAGCCGAAAGAAATGAGCCAAGAGATCCACCATGATTAACCGATACGTCAGATGAGTCACTATCCGTAAGCGAGTCAGCAGCCATTCTTCTTCGTTCCATATCCTCCGCTCTGACGATCTGGGGAAAGGATGGTAGGCATCATTTCAGTGACAAGAATGGGTTTCAAATATTTGAGGCTCCACAGACAGCTGGAGGACCAACTGGTACAGAAAAATAAAGACAGCGGCTCCTCTTCAGTGAACAGACATGGCTGCTAATAACTAAGCCTTGTATTTCAGGATGAGTCAACGTGACAAACTACGTCAATGATGCCCACGTTCATGCACAAATAGGACGGACAACGATTCACACAGATGAAACGGCGGTAAAAAGCAAACAATTCCAGATAGAAAAACCATGGCTGAGGTACATCGGTGTGTGAGGTCGAATTTCCCGAATGTACCGGATACATAATTCATACCTTTCCTGCTCGGGTCCATGCCAAATCAGCAAGACGCCGTCGGACAAGCATTCCCTGTTTTCCAGACGGTTGTGGAAGCGGGACAGGCCAACGTGGAAAGATATTGTCTTTCTCATCAGCCCCAGTTTTGGGAAGGTGTGGCGCGACGGAGGCTTCGAGGTCGAGGAAAACCGAGGCTACATCCCGAGTGACCAGGGTGACGGCGATGCCGGATCGACCAGCTCGAGCTGTGCGCCCCACGCGATGTCGGTAGGTCTTCTCACTTTGAGGAACCGAGAAGTTGACCACTAACTCAACGCCTGGGAGGTCCAAACCACTGATATCCGGGAATTATGAGTGCAAGCACACAGAGAACGGAAGTTACTAGGATAGGGTAATGGCCGAGAAGAACACTGTTCGTATGTCCAAATAACCTAGCCAAAGAGTGCCATCAAGCGGAGGTCAAAAACAATGAATGCAAGATAGAAAAAAATCGTTCAGTCATAGCACCCTTTCACTGCCTAGCTGCCATGCCACCCGAAGGTTACACGAGGGCTGGGATACTGCCAGGTTGCCCAAGCCTAGCAGGGGAAGTCAAGAGGCAGAGGTCGGGTTCGAACCACGGACCTTCCGGTCAGTAAATTCGCGCTCTAACCACTTGGACCATCTCGCCCCATGAAAGATAGACCGAACACGTACGTACGACGCCTGTCTAAACGTTCAGAAACCAATCCACTTTTGAACTGGGGACTATTGAGTACGCTTGTGGGGGCAGTACAGTGGCGAAATTTCAATTTCAACATCCAGCTGTAAGCTCAAATTGCAGTAAACAACAAAAGGCTGCCCACCCTCACTAAACACTCGAAAGCCGATCAAACTAGTATCGACATGCGCGCACACACAAGAAACCTATTTATCCGGAAGTGCGTTGCTCCATTATTTCTTCTTCAAAAGAACAAACCTCGGCAAGGGACGACACGCGTGGGCTTACGATGAAATCCTCACAAGACTTATAGATACCAGGCTAACGGGACAGGGAATATTACACAAAATTTAGTGAAACAAAAAAACCCAATTCATCCGTGAAGAAGGTGAGAAAGAATGAGAGATTCTGGGCTGTGCGGGAAGATTCAATGTGCCATGCATGACTTGTATAACCTTGTAAGTGTGTGGCGAACGTGGAGATTCAAAACTACACGAAAGACCCCCGTGACCTGAAAACAGCTAATTTAATGAGCCTCTTTATATGGTGTGAATCGGCTCACAACTGTAAACATTACCAGTACAAGGAAGAACAACTACACAGTTCAACGAATGCAAAAGAACATATGAAGAGTCAACCAATTGGTTTGAACTAACCGGCTGGCAACGTCCGTTGCGACGAGAATGTTCGCATTCCTCGTGACGAACTCCTTCAAGGCGTTCTTCCGATCCACCTGCTTCATTCGACCTGTCAAACCGACGACACAATGTCCACTTTCACGAAGGAAAGCAGTTACCAGGCGAACTTCCTGACAGCGTTTACAAAACACAATGGTTCGTGTGGAGGAACACGATTGTAATGAGACTGGATCTGCGTTTACCAAGAGAGACGACAGGGGGTGATAATATGACATTCATCAAAGCAAACTTTTCCATTCACTAAGATAATTTTATGGGAATTCGTGCAACCCATGTTTCAAGTCACCAAAATAGCAAACCGCATCGAAGTGGCTCAGAAAATTTCATTTGGGAAACACCCTCAAGAGAAAAGAACGACGTTAGAATTTGCTTTCATTTCAACATACAACAGAAAAACGAACCCACACTAACCAAATAGAAGGAGGTATCTCATCCGTGAAAATACTAGTTCAGTTCCTGACCATTGACCAGCCAGCTGTCACGCCAAACTAACCAAACCAAACCAAGTGACAACAATTCACCGGAGGCCTTTCGAAATCCAGGGAAATCGGCCCTCAGGCCTTATGAACAGACTGACATCATTGATTTGACTCAGCGAGGTTTAGTGATGTTCTATGTAGGGAGGTTGGGGCCTCTAACCACATCAGTGTATATACCGCCAACTGATGAGAATTGGAGTCAAATCAGAGTCATAATAGATGCATTCGTTGTAGCCCGATACCAGAACGCGGTACACAAATACAATGTTCTGGCCGTAATGCCAAAAGAGACCAAAAGAAAGATGTATAACAGTGACCTCATAGAGACAACGCACCCAAGAGAACTGACGGGTTACACCAGTAACAGTGCTGCGAATGCCAGTCGACCGACTTCCTCGAAGGGCTCTTTTCGCACAACCACGTGAAGGGTGAAAGTGAGCCAGAGGCGGTCAAACAATGACTTGGCAGCGAAGTGTGAAAGCCATTACCAGCAAACTCAGCTGCGCAGGTCATTGTCGTCTTCGTGGATGGAGACCCCGATGACGGTCCACATTAATGGTTAGAGATATTGTCAGACATGGTCCAGTCGCGCCCTGAATGGCACTCATGCATCCAAGCTATTGCCTTCAATGCACAGCTTCCTTCCCAATACCGCCACTCAACAGTCCACCTACAGTGCTGTACTTACGCACGGATTTATCAGCTCGCCTCCAATGTGCAGCTATCTACCCGACGTGCCCGAATCATGGGTAAACGAAACTGTGGCAGCTACAATCCCTGTATGACAAGTACGCCGTTATTACAGCTGACAATGATTATGGTAAGATCTGATAGTCAGGACAACCGAGAAAAGTGCAACCAACAGCTTTAACATACAGCCCAACCCAGAAAATCCACGAAATTCGTACCCTCTTTATAAGATAGATTAACCAATGCCGTGATTTTCCAATGAAATCCCCAGAATATCAAAGCTAAATTACACTTATAAGTGACAATCAGTGATATCGCGACTGGATGCCAAACGCGGATCGATTTCATGGTCCACATCTACCAGTTCATGATCGAACAAAGTCCGTTCCGGCAACGAAAATGAATGAACAAAGTTCAACTAAGAAGCATGGGATCCGTATAGCTTGGAGAGTTTCCGAACATCACAAATTAATGACTCATCAGAAGTAAGAATGACTGACAGGAAAGAAAACCAGGTTAGTTCGTTCACGAAAATACGACCATCCGATCTAGTGTTGTCGGCAACAGGCGTCGGATGAGCAGCAGGTCAGGGTTCCTGACTTTACGCGCTGAACTCCACAGTTCAACCACATTGAAGTATAACACAAAACTGGGCCTTGTACTGCTCGTGAACGACGCGACCAGCAATGAAATTCATAAAACGCTCAATATATAACCGGAATCGACTGGGCAGTCGGTGAGACAGACAACGTGTTGCATTCATTCAGCGACAGAAAGGTAAATGTTTCGCTCCTGGCTCCGGAGTGTGGGAAATTCCGTGATGCGCTCAAAAACCACTCCAAGCATTACCAACCAACTGGATTGTCGTGGAACACAGAAGTTGTTTCATAGGAGTCGTCCATCCAAAGAAAAGCCATCCCGAAGAGAAAGCTTCATAGTCCTCAAAAGTGTTTCCTCGTTGAGGTTACCGTGCTACGAACCAGCTTTAGCTACAAAGTGGTCCTCCCTCTAAAGAAGCCTCTCGAAAGAAACGCTAATTCCCTGCAGATTCCGAAGTGGACAATTTTATTGGGCTTGCCTATTGGTTCGGAGACTTTTAGACATCCTGAATAGGCTTTCTCCTACCCTACCTGCGCTTGTATCGTACATGTTTAACATATACTGACATTACACTGGACAGTCCAAAACTGCCTCTCATCAGCCACGACTGAATGCATGATCACTCCGAGGAGAGGTCGCTCCTGAAGGAGAAGCCAGTTCTTCCTTTTCTAGTACATTCACGACAAAAGTTGCCGAATGGCCGTTACGTCAAACATACCCGCTAAAGCTGTATTACTACGTATCAATGACTCACCAGCGATAAGCTGTGATGGACAGACCTCGTGTAGCTTGGAAAGTGTGGCTCCTTCGAGTATCCAGTTCAAAATGGCTGGCTTGTCAACCAGACGGACAGGCAGACAATAATGGACCAGGCCCGGAGGGAAACGAACTTGGCTAGAAAGCGAATGATCTTTCGTTTGAGCATCCACACACTTAGAAGCATGGTCCCCACCAAGGACACATGCGTCGGCAGATAGGGCAGCTCGTCGCAATTTCGCCACATCACTGGTCATGGTGGCCGAATAGAGGTGGGTTTGTGGATGTGGGAACTTCTCCGAATCAACGGTTTGGGTAGGACCAGCAGCGAGACAGTCGCCTAGATTAAAGTGAGTAGGAAGGGGTTGACGGAGAAAACTAATCTGGAAGCATCCATTTCACCAAGCTAACATGCATGATTCCGAGGCAATTAAAGATGGAGAACTAATATACACTACTTATCTAAAAAGTGGGAAAGTAAGCTGCATTCTGTCCTTGAATTTCGTACCCGAAACTTGGAAGGATACTTCATGTGAATTCGCACTTTGTATTTCACTCACAGCCGATGCGACGAGTGCCTTGCAAAGTGGAGCGCAACAAAAGGTAGACCACCGATTCAGACCAGTGGCTAGGCGCTAAAAAATTGATATACCACGCTTTCTTAGGATAAATAAACTTTCACAACGGGGATATTTTAGTCGAGCAATTATTCGGGAGACCACAAAGTACAGAAAAGTATTCAAACAACCCGGGGCCGAATGGGATCAAGACACAATGCGAACAACCGTACTGACCGGTGTTGGCAACTTGTTCCAGCAGCCTTCGACTTTTCATCCTCTTGCGCCGCCGTTTCTTGTCGGCATTGGGTCTTTTGAACACGTTCAAAATGGTGTCGAGATCCTGCGCAAACTCCATACTCAACATTCTGTCAGCTTCGTCCAAAACCAGCTGACGAATTTGGGAGAGCTGTTGACGAGTGAACGAGGCGGACTGTTTCATGTGGTCGACAAGACGTCCGGGTGTGGCTGTGGATGAATTAGCACACATGGAAGTAATGCGCAAGTAGTTGAAAAAAGTTGTGGCAAAAGGTTACTGTACGAAGCCACTAGAAATACACGAAACGCACTAAATTCAATTAACTGGTGTGCCAAGACATACATTGCTGTTTTGCGGTGAAAAAAAATAGACGGAGAAGCGCTTGTGATAAAAAGGCAACCTGCAAAACTGGTATGAAGATCAATGCCCGAAAGGTGATGGCGATTTGTGGGGTCAGGAAACATCAGGCGACAGCGGTCTCAATCGAGCCATTTGCTTCGCCATTAACTCATCACTCTCCTGGATCCGATAGACACCGTGACATTTTTGCGCATCCCCTTTACTTTCAAGGAGAAAGCGTCTGTAACTACTGACAGCAGCTGCTCAAACTGATCGATGAGGTGATGCGTGCCCTTTGAACACGCATCATACACTGGAGGTCTCAAGGAACCACATGATATCGAGGCTGACTTATTCGCTTGTGCTTGACCAGGTCCACCGAAACACGCTCAAAGGTTGGACAATTACATCAAGCAATCTATTCGTAGTTGGCTACGTCCACTGAATGGCACCCCGATCAACTACATCCAGGCAGGTATACAATGTGGGGGACTTGGTTTCCTAAGTCTGAGTACAACCATCCCAATGCAGCGTATGGGAAAGCTTCTGTCTACCCAGTGCCAAGTACTATGCGATGTGATCAATGATCCCGCATTGGGCAAGATTATTCGGGATCTCAACCTTCCGATCCGAGTCCAAGGTGCACGCGTAAACACCAAGGAAGAGCTGGTGGCTGCTTGGGGCGATAGTCTGCACAACGTTGACAATCACGGTTTACGAAATTTGGTCGATTTGCCTCTTTCGAATTGATGGCTTGTATTTCCAGAACGGGTATTCCCTGGAATATTTATACGCGGTATCCAGCTCCAATGCAACCTGCTTAGGACGAGAGTTTGAGGCGCTCGGCGTGGCCATGGTGGCCAGACTATCTTCCGTCGTGGAAACTGTGGCCAACCGGAGAGTTTGGTGCATATTTTGCAGTCCTGCTGGGTTACACATGATGCTAGATGTGCTCGTGACAATCCGGTTGCAAGGGTCGCCTGGGATACACCGAATTCGAGGAATTGAGAGCACCTAGGTGGAGCCTTACCTAATCGCTGTTGGGGAGCACCGAGCAACTGTGATGGACGTGGGCATAGCCTCAGAATGGGCACGCAGTGACTGTGTGGAATGAGAACAAGCAGAATTATGGTGTTGATGAATGTCCCCTCACTATCACCTCAGCCCTATGCACAATCGATTAGGATGTCACCTTTCTGGTCCACCAACCGATGACCATTTCTTATCGAGGGATCTGCTTTCCTCAGTCCACCAAAGCTGTTATTGGACTGGGACTTCCTAAGGTTACAGTCAGTGACTTGTGTTTGCTTGCCATTGTGGGCTCTACGCATACGACACTTTTAAGCGTAGTACATGACGCTGGGTGTGTATTCTTGCCATTGACTTTCACACCAGACCCAATATGACGGACCTTTTGTGCCTGATGCGCAAATCGTGGTTGTGGTAGCGGTTACCACGCTTTGAAGAGCATTCTTTGCACGCGGGCTTCCATACAAAACATTCTTATATAGTTTGGGACTCATTTTGTTTGATTGGCATTGTGGGCGGCATGACTTCGAGGTGACATCATCAGTGATGAAACGTTTGCAACCAAATTGCCCAGCTCAGCGAACAAGCCAACGACCATCTACGCTGCCTGAGCTACCGACATACTCCTCTATGGAAGACGCATCTCTCTTTATTCGATATTCTCCTGTAACCCTTCCACATCCATCGCTTGCATTTACTTTTTTACGTTTGTGACCATGCTCTTCCACAATAAACGATAATAACTATTCACGTAGTCTAAAACAGCCAACCGTAAGACACAAGCGACATCATCAGAGCGGCTAGAACAATTCAAGTTGCAGCTTTGATCAGAGAGTAGTGCGCGAGGAACACCATGTGAATTGATGCTTGCCAGACGAACAGCTGAACCATATCACAAATTAAGACTCAAGTGAACAGCCAACAATCCAAAGTGCAATCCAAAGTGCACAGCAAGCCAACTCTAACCGGATAAGTAAACTCTATCTCAGCATCGAACTAGAGCGTGTGCACACCTTGGTTCACCGATTGCTTGTGTCGTGCGAAAACATCATGATACCTTTTCGGATTCACGCTATATTTTGAAATTTTACTTTCTGCTTGCTCAAATGTTCCGTTTAATTTTGGTCTACGCCAAACACAATGATCTTGTCTCAGACACAGAATGTTTTGCCAACCAGAGTACATGATTCTGATTTCGCTAATCAGTAGTGAATAGCTTTAGCTGCATCGGGATTTAAACAGCTCATTTATGGGGCAAGTGTGTTACCACTACCCCTCTTAATTCACCTGAATTACCAAGGCTGGATAGGTGAGCATGCTCACACTTGAGCAATTTGGCTGAGGAACTGGGTCCGCTGAAGTACGGCTCACACAGGTAGGTGACGTGGTTGCTACCCCCTGCTCAGTACCCAATGAACGGTCTGTGTAAAGTTCGGGTGTACCATCACCGTTCGTGGGTAATCCCAGTGAACAGCTAGCAATTTGGACCCAACTGTCTCTCTTATAGCCAGATCAGCTTTAGCCCATCAACAAAGCGTGAATCAGAGGATGAATCGAGTAGTCTAAACCTAAGACCCCAGATGACGCCATTGGCGTAACACCTGTCCAGGAAGTGCCAGCTACAGGATACATCCGGTGTTCACAATTGAGGAGTGAAGTTAGATGACAACTCAGAATTATAACCAGGTTCCACCGTAAAATTGGGAAAAGGTCACTGGGACTCATTAAATTAGTAAATCAGTTATAATTCTTAAAAGCTGACTGGAAATTTGCTCCATATGAGTTTACACACATTCTAGATAGAAGATATCACGAGACGTGACATCGATTTGGGCAGGCAAATGACTGGAAATAGTGATCTGATGTTGATGGGTTGGTTGTTGGTTTCCACAGAAAACAAACCAAAGTTAATAGACTTTTCGTAGGAAAAACTGCTCTCCTAAAGGGCAGAGACCACTCCAGGCAAAGTCCCTTGTCAGTGCACCCAGAAAGGGATCTTCAGGATGGTCGTATAGCCGTCACCAGGTTGTCAACAAACCAGGCAGCGCACCTCAGAGAGACGCATAATCCAACAGAGGACCGAGACTAGAGGGTCTAAAAAGGGAATCTGGATACTGTGCTGACTGTTGCGCGGTTCTGTAAGGGGTCACCGAACGGGGTAAATCACTTCCAAGAGAAACAGTACTGAGAATGAGTGAAAAATTCACAGCCCACAACGTTTTCACCGTCATGTTTTACGACCCTGTAAATGTATTAACCAGAAGAAGGTTCACCTAAAACATTCGCAGGCCAAGCCCAATTTAGTAACGCTCACTAAGCAGGATTTGGGAAGTTCGGTATGAAAGCGCCAGCATATTTTTAGAATAGGACTTTGGTCTCAGGTAGCTGAACTAAAAACCACCAACATTTCATTGTTCGTACTGAACATAACCAGTTATCACAAGTTAGTGTCAAACTGTGACAAAGATAGTGGTATAAGAGAGGTCCATTGACACCCGGTAAGCAGTTAGGCCGCAGCAAACTGTGTAACAGATCAAGACGGTCATCCCAGAAAGTAGCTACGGATGAACCATCAGCACTGCGCACCAGCTCGGTGAATTTAAATCATTCAAATTACATAAAGCGCACGTTCAAGGCGTCTAAAAGGACCACAGAAACCGTTCAGAATTGCAGCTAGTATCCCCCTTATGATGTGTGTTTTGGAGCAATAGAGAAGTCAAGAGGTTGACGGATGACGATACAAACCCAGCAGAAGAATAGCAGTCTCACCGACAATTATGTGATGCTTGTGCCAAGCCAAACGCAGAGCTTGTTCCACCATATCTTCCCCACCGACCAACTGCACCACACGCAAACCCTCATCCGAGCTGACGGAGCTCGTTTGGGGAGAACTCAGCCGATACGCCTCCGTAGCCAATTGTTGCGCTAGCTCACGGGTTGGGGCAAGCAGAAGGGCGAACCCACGCGGACGACCGGCGAGAATCCATTGCTAAATAGCAGACAGAAATGTGGATAGAAAACAACAGTCATACTAAGAAGCAAAGCATAAGGCCTGTTGAATAAACTGACCGCCATCATACCATCTTTTGGCATGCGCGTTGCACCTTTAAAGTGCAAAGTCATGCTTCAGAACGTGTAGTCTCCGAACATGCTCCTTAGCATTCAAGGAGAATAACTGGAGACTGTGGGAAATTTCCCATGCCTCGGTAGTTGTATTAACTCTGACGGAAATGTGTCTGATGAAGTCACTGCAAGAATCTCAAAGGTTCGAATCACGTTTGCTAAGTTGCGTCACTTGTGGCGTCAAAAAGGTATATCACTAGATCTTAAGGGTCGCGTGTGCCAGGATGTGTTGTTGTATGGGTGCAAGACATGGCCTCTGTAGATGGATGACGTGGGGCGTCTTCAGGTTTTTGACCATCGATAATTCAAGCGTGTCTGGTTTTGGATGGCGTCAGCGTGTTAATAACGAGGTGACTAGAAAACGGGTATTTGGTTGTGCTGCAGGTACTTCGACCCGGTAAAACATCCAGCACCATCGACTATGATGGCTCAGTCAGTGCTACGCATGCCGAAACACCGTCTACCGATACTAAAATTAATCTCCGTGCTTCCTTCAGAATGGCGCAAACCGTGAGGCGGACAACGCATGACTTCGTGGAAGGGCGTGAAAGAGATCATGAAGAGTTTGGGTGTTGTTGGTGTTGTACGCCTTCCAGGATGTGGTCCCCATGGGTGCTTGCCTTCAGACGTTGTAAGAGATGGCGAGTAGTCGACGTCAGTGAGGATCGTGCTGTCAGTTCCTTTCTATTATCTGATTGGGCGCTTGGATGTGTAGGCACATCAGAATATTTCACAAAGGCCAGCACTTGGTCCCCTCCCCCACCCATTCTGTTTCTGTTTCCAGTATAGAGCTCTAAATAAAATTTGACGAAACATTTGGTTGCAGATGCCCTTGACGATGATGATGAATCATACTAAGCGGAAGCAGAAATTCACCCGAAGGTTACGACCAAAAGGAAAATGGGCCGCACAATACACCGATGACTCAGTGGTTAGAGCGCGGATTTACTGGCCGGAAGGTTCATGGTTCGAACCCGACCTCTGCCTCTCGACCTGTCTCTGGGTCATCTGGCAGTAGCCCAGCCACAGTGGCATGAAAGTTAGGCTACAGATGAACGGTTTCGATACCGCTGTTGACTGCCAACACCACTGAGGACTGCGCATCCGAGTGACTCTCTCTCTCTCTCTGTCTCTCAGGAGGACCACCCAGTGGGATTCGTCTAGCGTTTTACATACATTCATAATGAACTACCAAAAACGCATTATCACATGCCAAGGCAAGAACAATTGCCTATTGAATGCGCTATCCGGATTATCTTCAGTCAATGGTTCGAACCGCCCTTTGCCACTCGACCTTTCCTCTGGGTCATCTGGCAGTAGCCCAGCCACAGTGGCATGAAAGTTAGGCTACAGATGAACGGTTTCGATACCGCTGTTGACTGCCAACACCACTGAGGACTGCGCATCCGAGTGACTCTCTCTCTCTCTCTGTCTCTCAGGAGGACCACCCAGTGGGATTCGTCTAGCGTTTTACATACATTCATAATGAACTACCAAAAACGCATTATCACATGCCAAGGCAAGAACAATTGCCTATTGAATGCGCTATCCGGATTATCTTCAGTCAACAAAATGACTTCAACTCGCTTAAGAAGCCAAAAGCCTATTTCCCTACGGTGTCCTTTCCTTCGGTGGATTAGTGTGGTAGATGTGTCATTAAACTGAGCTCCGCAGCAGAATGTTGGTGCAAAGCCTCGATAAATGTGGAAGTTACAGCCACTTCCAGTTGAAGTAGTTTGGTGATTTTAATACTTACAAAATGGTATCCGACAGAATGCAAAGAGGGCCACAACTGTCAAGCAGTGAACTCTACTCACCACTTCTTGTTTGAGAGTGTAGTTGTCTGTAAAGTAAAGCGCATTCTCGGTCAAAGATTCCAAGTAAAATGTCGACCGTAAGATGATGAACTAGCGATAAACAATTGATGCGATCAGGGTCAGTTTCCTCTAAACCAGGGCATCTCGGCACGATTTCTGACTAACAAGACGATCGCTAAAAATAGTGCCCTTGCTTGGACAGGGGAGCAAGAACAAATAAGGCACCAAGATGCAGAGCAGCGGCCAAAGAAGCATGAAAACAGTGTTCCCTGTATTCTACGTAATGTTGCATTCACGTAAGCGAAGTACATTTTCATCGTTTTGACAAGGTAGCTGTTGAAGTTACTAACAGGCCAAAAGCTGCTTCCTAATCTACCACCGTACTTTGAACATGAGGAGAGCAGCTTCAATAACTTATGCTGACAAACCAATGAGTAGGGGGAAGATTTGGAAGTTCGTGACCCTGAAAGTGAGATCGACCTACGATGAAAGAAACATTGTCCACCTCCACTGGAAACGCCACCAGCTTGTGCTCCTCCAATATCAGGCTAGCATATTTTGCCGTTGTCTCAGTTTCAATCAAAGTTCGGTACATACTTCAAACACTTATTTTTGGTCAAGTGCGAATTTCACCAGTCCCACAATAGCAGTCAATAGAAACAGTACTTTGAGCTCGAGAGAGCTCAATTATTAGGGCGCGAACGTATAGATCGCAAGGTCCGTAATTCGAACCTAACCTCAGTACCTCGACTAGCCCTGTCACGATTTGGGCAACCTGACAGTATCCCAATCTTCATGATATGTGGGCACCGGAAGGGTGTTATACCTGAACGATTATTTCATTTATTATTCTGACTTCCATAGGAGATGTGAAGATGTTTTTGTAAAGGGCTGTGAGCGGTCCAGGCTCTTTTCTGGCAAAACACAACAACTCAGCTAATAGCAGTCTTGTGTGCGTTCCCGTTACTGTCCCTTGGAATAAGTTATCGGTCTCGGCATCGGACATACAAGATCAAGAAAACATGAATAATCCATTAACTTTAGCAAATATCATACACTCCAACAATACCCAGAGCCTAAAGAGAAATGAAAACGCAATCCACTACCCTCTCCTATGTACCCCACACCGTCAACTTAGGGAGAAATTGCAATCCTAGTGACGCGGCAGGAAAATGTGGATGACCGTGGGTAGCGTAAGTACTTGTCCATTTTCGTGTATTCTTCTTAACCATATGGTTGCACGATGGCCCGGTGCCATAACCGACTATCTGGGTGGTAACCTCGGTGGTAAGAGTAATGTTTGGCGGAACTATCAAGATTAACATTTGGATGAAGTTACGGCTAAGTTGAGACATGCATGTACGCCCAAAGGTAAAAGGACGATTACACGCTGAGCTGCGTGCTCACTCATCACAGTTTGTTAGCAGTGGTGAAACAGAAGATCCCCACTTGCATCTTGTGGGATAAACTGTGACAATTGCCCCAAGCAAAAAATGTCGGGAAAGAAAACTTACTTGGATAATGGGAATTATGAAAGCACCGGTCTTCCCGGAGCCTGTTTCCGCAATTCCGATCAGATCTTTTCCTCGAAAACAGTGGTAAATTAAAATGGGTTTGAATTACCTTTGAGAGCTACTGGAATGGCATTGTGTTGTATCGGAGTGGGTTCTGACCAGCCTAATTTGTTAAGAATATCGCAAATATCTGGCAAAACACCGAGAGATTGGAACCCACGTGGGTTCATGGATGGCTGCATTGACAAGGAGGCAAGCTCACATCCAACTGCAAAACTGGGAAAAGATGAAAATGTGTGTACAGAAATAAATTAAAAATATATTATGAAACACGATGTTATAAGTAAAACATCATCCAGTGGTGGAATGGTTCGTCAAACGACTGTGAAAAGGTTGCTCAAGAATTGTTCAACTCTACAAACAGAGGACGAGTTCGGATAAAAGGTTTAACCCTCAGTATAATTACATACTGCAAAAGATTCCACTGCCCACGAAAGTTCAGAGGTTCCAGTCCAAGTCTGACGTTATAATTGTCTTCAACTGAGTCCAAATAACCTAGCAATATGTTAGTATACATGTTTTCTGGGGTTGCATGATAATTTTACACTGAAAGGTTATTTGGTTTGATCCTTCATTAGCACATAGCCACGCATTGAAAAAGGTGTTACAGTTCGACACCATAATGACTGCAACCACGAACTGCGAAGGTACGAATAATTCCATGGCACTTCACCTTGGGCCGGACCACTGCCTTCCACATACAAAAAAAAGAGACGAACGTAAGCAGTTTATTGCTTTTCAAAATCGCGTATTCTTTTCCTTCTCTTGCAGGCCAGGAGGCAATACGCCCCCATAACCTTCACTAGTATATATCAGATGTCCACCCGCTCCATTATCGCCCAACTTCGTCATCGATAGGATAATACGGCAAACGCTGGAAGGTGTTCGAAACCCCGGCACTCGAGTCGTTACTGGTGAGAAACTCAACTATATGGAGTACGTAGACATCGTCCACATCTTCGAAAAGCGAAGGCAAAACAAAATCGCTGTTGGATAAACCGGCCATCGTCAAGCGACCTTTCGCCAAGCGACTTGCGCCTAGTTATGATTTAGAACGTTTAGTCACTGAATGCACTCTCACAATTCAAGGGGCACTGAGGTTTGTGGAGAATTTTACATACCTCTGTAGTTGTATTAGCTCTTACTGAAGTGTCTGATGAAGTCAATGCACGAATCTCATAGACATCAGTCCTGTTTGCTAACTGCGTCACTTGTGGCAGAAAAAAATTATATCACAGTGTTTCAAGCGCTGCAGTTGGCAGGCTAAAGGAATGTATTGCTGTATGATTCGGCACATGTCATCTGTGTATATATGTGAGCGGTCTTCAGGCTTTTGACCACCGATGCCTCAGCGGGGTCATTGGTGTCGAATGGCCCCAACGAATTAGTAACGAGGTAATTAGAAAACCGGTATCCGGCTGTGCAGCGGGTAATTCAATCGCGGGAACCATTCAGTGTTTTTTGGTCATGCGCTACACAAGCGAAAACCTGATCCTCTCGGGGCAAGTGCCAATCTCCGTGCCTCCTTCAGAATGGCGCAAACTGCGAGGCGCACGATACATGCCTTGGCAGAAAAGTGACAGAGATTACGAAGAGTTTAGGTGTTGTTGGTGCAGTCCACCCTTTACGAAGTGGTCTCTATGACCCCACCTGTGCCTGACTGGATACACTTCAAGAAATGGTGGCTGGTGGATGCCACTGGCATTCGTGCTGTCAGTTTCTTTCGAAATTACTGATTAGGCGCATAATGGTGTAGGCACCCAAAAATGTTTACGAAAGACCAGCAAAAGGTCCCCTCCCTTACACACTTTACTTTCCACTGCAAGGCTTTAATTAGGAATACAGATGAAATCTGCGGTTACGCGACAGTGAAGCATCAGTGATGATGGTGATGATGGCGATGACCACACTGCTAGTCTTGTCTATCCTCATTTATCCACAAACTGCACCGCGGCCTCAGCTCTCATGGAACGATCAGGATGCTGCTGCAGATATTCGGCAATCGAACATCATTGCTCAGTATCTATTGCCAATGCCCCAAGCTGTTCGAGAAAGATTATAACGACTTCATCAAGTTTACCGTTTCTGTCATTCGGGGATGCCAGCGTTCAAGTCCAGTTTTTTGTATCGTCTCTGGTCGTCCGAAGATGCATACATCAGAACCGGACTGACTCACAGAGATATCCAGCATTCTGAAACGATGCAGCAGAGCCCCAGCAACCTGAAAGACGGCACGAATATGACCGGTCAGGCAGCTGTGTCCATGGAATTGACCCCAATTTCCCAGAAAAAACCACGAACAAGCCCGGTCGAAAACGAAACAAGCCTCTTACAAGTTTCTGGTATTGTGATGAGTAGTATTTCGTTATTCATCATCATCCTCATCATCATCGACAGCATGACATCAGTGTTCAACACCGATGCTTCACTGCCGTACAACCATGACTTATTTGAGAGCCTTACTGTAAAGAAAAGATTAAAGGTGGACGGGGGAGGAACTTAGTGCTAGCTTAACATAATCATTCCGAGGTGCCTATACCTCCAGACATTCACTCAGGCAATCTGGATAGGAACTGACAACAAGAACGCCACTGACATCGTTTGGCAGCCATATCTTGTAGTGTCCCCAACCAGGCACAGTGACGATCACGCGGTCCCCATCCTGGAAGGCGAGTAGCACCGACAGCACACACATGTCCCAACCAACGCAGCTTCTGGTACTGGACACATTCTTCAATGGAAGTACCCGTTACACAACCGAAAACGCGCCTTCTAACTGCCTCGTTACGGATTCGCCGACACCAATTCACACGAGCTATGGTTCTGAGACAACGATTGTGATCCTCTCGGGGCAAGTGCCAATCTCCGTGCCTCCTTCAGAATGGCGCAAACTGCGAGGCGCACGATACATGCCTTGGCAGAAAAGTGACAGAGATTACGAAGAGTTTAGGTGTTGTTGGTGCAGTCCACCCTTTACGAAGTGGTCTCTATGACCCCACCTGTGCCTGACTGGATACACTTCAAGAAATGGTGGCTGGTGGATGCCACTGGCATTCGTGCTGTCAGTTTCTTTCGAAATTACTGATTAGGCGCATAATGGTGTAGGCACCCAAAAATGTTTACGAAAGACCAGCAAAAGGTCCCCTCCCTTACACACTTTACTTTCCACTGCAAGGCTTTAATTAGGAATACAGATGAAATCTGCGGTTACGCGACAGTGAAGCATCAGTGATGATGGTGATGATGGCGATGACCACACTGCTAGTCTTGTCTATCCTCATTTATCCACAAACTGCACCGCGGCCTCAGCTCTCATGGAACGATCAGGATGCTGCTGCAGATATTCGGCAATCGAACATCATTGCTCAGTATCTATTGCCAATGCCCCAAGCTGTTCGAGAAAGATTATAACGACTTCATCAAGTTTACCGTTTCTGTCATTCGGGGATGCCAGCGTTCAAGTCCAGTTTTTTGTATCCAGTCTCTGGTCGTCCGAAGATGCATACATCAGAACCGGACTGACTCACAGAGATATCCAGCATTCTGAAACGATGCAGCAGAGCCCCAGCAACCTGAAAGACGGCACGAATATGACCGGTCAGGCAGCTGTGTCCATGGAATTGACCCCAATTTCCCAGAAAAAACCACGAACAAGCCCGGTCGAAAACGAAACAAGCCTCTTACAAGTTTCTGGTATTGTGATGAGTAGTATTTCGTTATTCATCATCATCCTCATCATCATCGACAGCGTCAGGCAGCTCCATGGAATTGACCCCAATTTCCCAGAAAAAACCACGAACAAGCCCGGTCGAAAACGAAACAAGCCTCTTACAAGTTTCTTTCTTTGTGATGAGTAGTATTTCGTTATTCATCATCATCCTCATCATCATCGACAGCATGACATCAGTGTTCAACACCGATGCTTCACTGCCGTACAACCATGACTTATTTGAGAGCCTTACTGTAAAGAAAAGATTAAAGGTGGACGGGGGAGGAACTTAGTGCTAGCTTAACATAATCATTCCGAGGTGCCTATACCTCCAGACATTCACTCAGGCAATCTGGATAGGAACTGACAACAAGAACGCCACTGACATCGTTTGGCAGCCATATCTTGTAGTGTCCCCAACCAGGCACAGTGACGATCACGCGGTCCCCATCCTGGAAGGCGAGTAGCACCGACAGCACACACATGTCCCAACCAACGCAGCTTCTGGTACTGGACACATTCTTCAATGGAAGTACCCGTTACACAACCGAAAACGCGCCTTCTAACTGCCTCGTTACGGATTCGCCGACACCAATTCACACGAG